AAACGAGTTACATGGTTTTATAAAGGTTTCAGAAAAATTGAAAGTGAAATTGTTTCTAAACTGTACAGGAAGAAATTATCATATTGTGTTCAGTAAATATTATTTTAATTGATGATTGCAAAACGTACGATCTTCCGGTCACAAGTGAACAACGTTCGCTTCTCAATTGCTCCTATTAATGGAATTTGTTCAATGGGATGCGAATCCGCAAAAAATACAAGTCACTTAGCAGCGACTAAAATGAAGCAACTCATCTGAATAGTGTGCCACTTCGTCTCAAAAAAGTACAAGATAAATTTGTACAAAAATATCAGTTGTTTGAAATATCTTTGAAATTTTTGTAGTATTTTAATTTCAAAACATATCAAAATATTACATAATGTCATAAAATGTAGTTAGATATTTTATACATTCTTTTAAAAAATTAATCACCATCAAGCTTAATCTATAGCCCGTAAACCTGTCTAATCCCTATAGTTTTCTTATTTAAAATTCTGTGTATTTTTTCCCGCATTTAAAGTTCTTATTCTTGTCGTTGGTATTAAGTGCATTTTTTATTAATGTAAACAGAGGGTTACTGATATAACCGGAATAAAAATGTTTGAATCTGGAGAAAAGATTCTTTTATAAAATTTTTATCAAGCTCATGAGTACATTTAAGCAACAGAAATTGGGAGCAGAGCAAACATGATCTTCTAAAACATCAGAGATGGATATAGGTGCAAGCTAGGTCTCCCTCGCTGTGTACTACTCTTCACAAGGAATACAGACAAATATGTAGACAATTTAATGTGTAAATAATAAACTAGCAACCTGTATGGAAAACGCAAGTCAGGATTTGACGTAATGATGAGGTGTGTCTGCTGACAAAGTCATTGCATCTACAATAGAATTTGCGAAATGATCAAAATCTAATCAGCTTATGCCTAGGTCACATTTCCCGGCCGGTAGCCGTAGACCGGTGGTAATCGTTAGTAATCCGTGGTGTTAACGATGCCCCAACATCGGTCCACATCGGCCAAGTAGTCCTTAAAGTATCAGTCACATTATCCAGCGATGGGATATACGATGTACAACCCATGTGTTTTATGAGAAAAATGGCGTGGTTGCCGGCCGAACTTACAAAGGCCAAGCGATGCATTGCTAATCATAAAACGATGTTCCAGGATAATTGGCCGATGTATATTACATCGCTCATACATTGGTGAACACTGTTCGTACATCGGTCGACTACAGGCCAATGTTTGCTCGAACATCGATCGATGATCGGTCGTTATCTGTTGAACACCACTAAACTCCCCGATGACCTCAGATTCAACGGATATTGGACGATGCTCGACAATACATCGGCCGATCCTTGAAAGATGTATTAATGATGGGTTGCCGATGAGGAGCGATGTGAGGCATCGTTGGAGACATCGCTGAATTTTAACTACGAATTATTTCCTACCGATGACCCCACCGATTCGCAAAAAAAGACTCAGTCACCGTCCGATCACTAGTGGTGCCCGGCCGGCAACCACGGAATTTTCATCAAAAAACGCATCGGTTTCTCATCGTATACCCCATCGGTGGATAATGTGACTTATACTTTACACAGACATAAATTGCATATGCAAAAAATAATAACCATGGAAATGTAAATTACAATTATGAATATATCCTTGAAGGATTTTATTTTACTGCTATCGATACTACCAAAAAAAAAAACAAGTAAATTCAAGCCTACCATACATGAGGTAATAATTTTATGAGATTTGCAGAAAGTTATACAAGTAGCTGTTAACATTCATGGTATGATAAAATTCGATGAATTGCATTGATAGTAAAAACAAATGATATTTTGATTTTCAATTTTCTTCAAACATAAATATTTAGTAATGATTAAAACCACATTTAACAAGATCGCCATTAAAGAAGGATATTTTCGGAAAAAAGGAAATAACTGAGCTTTACTTTTCTCCCCTTATATTTTAAAATTTAACATTAAGCTTGCATTGTTGAAGCTTTTGCCAAAGTTATAATTAAGAATAGGAAGATAAGAAATAGTGATCAATCAAAACAAAAATCTGCTAATAAATAGAGAAATTTGTGTGAAAAGGCACAAAATACGGAGCCTTGAAATTTGAGAGGTATCTAGAAAAAGTCTCTAGTTGAGAGGTGAAATACACGGAGATAATGTTCAAAAATTCAAGCTCAAAAGTCCATTTAACAATAAAAAAAAATTGGCGCAGAGCAAAAACGGACCTCCAAAACATCAGAGGTAGGATCAGATACCATGGAGGAGTGAGTATCCCTTTCCGACCGGTCACACCTTATCATGATCGGGAAATGACGGGAAAATCCGTCGTCAATTCAGTGTGTAAATACATGTAATGGGCTAATAATTACATGTAGTATGAAAAACATCACTCAGCATTTGACACAATGATAAATTGTATTTGCTGACAAGGTCATTGTATCTACCATAGAACTTACGAAATGATAACTTTGAAAAAGACTGCTGTCAGCTGATATTCTCGTTTCATCAACTTGTTTGTCAATAATTTACCTCGTTTTAGAAACTGTTCATATGAAGAGCATACTTTTGCGTGTTGAATCAACAGAGAGATAGATGTAAACCCCGCATGCAGGTAACGATGGTGTATTGCTGCATAAGTAAAGGAAGTTGACGATAAAAATGTTAGTTATTATGTTTATCATAAAGATTGGCTTTTAGCCGGACTTATTGCTCAAAGAGCAATTGCTGGCTTATGTGATCCTGTTAAAGGCAGGATGTTAACCCAATAGTCGCCATTTTAAAGTTACGTGCAAAAATATAGTTCTTACTCTCAACCGCTTTTGAGATAATACAAACGCTAAATAAAGCAACAAAAATAAAACGAAGTTTTATCTATATAAAATAAACATTTGTAGTAATGACTTTGAAAACTTCATAAGTCAAAGAACATAGTTCATTAGCGTAAGGATTTTTGATAATCAGTGTTACCGTAGTTCTCTACACATACGAGGTAAAGCAGGAGAGGGAACCAGACTGGCCTGTTTGTTTACATTTCAGTTGCGGTACCAGATTAATTCTGATTCTGACAAAATCGGACCGTGGTATTAGGATTGAAAAACTCACTGTCAGTGTCTTATTATTTATATTGATAGTTTTAAAATAATTTTTCATTAGAATATAAAGGTGATTCATGTAAGAAATCCATTCTACTCTGTGAATGAGCCTGGCTCTCTGTACTTCTGAGTACTTTGATTATATTACCAAAAACGTCTTTTTCTAGTAAAATATCCAAATATGAAATAGATGACGCAGATTCTGTGGTACCTTTTATTTGAAGCTCACCGGGATATATCGTATCGATATGAGAATGGAATTAACTATTGTAAATTAAAATTATGACGTTGATATATCAAATTGTCGAGATCGAGTTGAAGGCCACAATAAATGTGTTCGTTACAAGACTTTGTCGCTTTAAACCCTATTTACTGATCAGGTAGATTGATAATTCAGAAATCTTCTTTGAATTAAATAATGGTTAATTTCTTCAATGTTTTTCGAATTTTTTCTTTGCAATTCATTCGGCCCGTGATGGGGTATTAAGACCTAATTATTCATGGAATATTTATGCTCACAAACCTGACTTCATGCATGCACATTTCCAGGTGAGATTTTACTTGCCTTTTCTTACCTACTTAGTCGCCCGCGTGGCGCGGTGGAATGAACCTCTGCTCTAGAGTCGCGCGCGAAGTAAGAAGATGATGTTCTCACGTTGTTCTGACGTCGCAGGCTCGAATCCGACTGTAAGAAGTGGAGACCGGTCCTAGTGAGACCGTATAAACCGAAATCCAGTGTCGCAGTTGGTGCGTGCTGGCAGGAAAAAGATCCCTCGTTCATCAATGGCCCTGAGTACCGAGTATGCTTCAAAATTAATTGTATATAAAAATAAATTTTAACATTTGTTTTCCAACATCTTTAGATTAAAATATGTCAAAATATGTCGGTGAAACATGAAAAGATTCTTCTCATTAATTCAACTAAAACGAGCTCAAGCTATTGCATTCTTTCAATTTAAGAAGACAAGATGAATAAATTTAACTATGAAATGTTATACAAATTCTTTTTAAATTATGCCTATTTCAATTTTGCAATTGCTTCCCACACTTTCGGTCAAAATTTGTCTTTTGCGCTGGAATTGCTGTTCATGTAATTCATAAAATATTTATTATAATATTTGTCTAACGGTAATCAGAAGTTACTTAATGGATTAATTTCCTATTAAAGGTCATTAAATATATGAGCAGTAGCTACACAATATTCCAGGCAGTCTTACAGAAATATCTATCCCCAGCTAATAATCAGGCTTTATAGTAACGATTTTTTCTAGTCTGTCTTTAGTCTTCAGTCTTGAAAGAAAAACACTTTATTCTACCTTATTTTACTTAAGCATGTCGTTTAATTACACATCGTGTTAATAAAAAGATGTAAAATTCACTCTATAAATATAACTCTCGCTATACATGATGTTTTAAGTGTTATATATTGGAAAGTTTGACTGTTTGTGATTGCATAATTTTTAAAAATATCTGATCAGGTACCGATATTTGAAGTTAAATTTGATGCTTGTTTTGGTGACTTTTAAGGTGAAGAATTAAGAATATAAACTATATAACTCCTGTACCAGAGGAGAAGTGACCAAATGAAGTAAACAAATGGATTTATTGACCAGAGGTTGATGCTTCGATTGTCAACTCCCTCAGATATTAAAAACTTGGTTTGGCAGTGAAGTTTTGCCTGTTCTTGCTATTTCTCTTTCACGCTATGAATGAAAGGGGGTATGTTCGAAACAAGTACATGAAATATACAGATGAGATACAGTAGGATTATAATATTAAGGTTAATTAAATCACTTCGAACTAACCAAATGATGAACTACAGTAGTAATCAAAATTCAAAATCATGCTTGCCCTTATCTGAAGATACGGGTTAAGATGTCGGAACATTATAACGCTTCATCCAAAGGCATATCATCCACATCAATATGTCTAGCTTCGTAGCTGTTGACTATGTTGTTTTCTGTATTACTATTGCGATTTCTCTTGGCATTGGTGTCTACTATGCCATTGCTGGCCAGAAAACCACCTCCGAATATCTTGTCGGAGGTCGACAAATGAAAATTCTACCCGTGGCAATCTCTCTCATGGTTTCGTTTGAATCCTCCATTATGATGTTAGGATTTCCCGCGGAAACTTATGTTTATGGAATGATGTTTTGGTTGTCTAATTTCGGATTTCTTGCCTCGTGTATTATGGCTACCCGCATGGTCGTGCCACTTGTACATCCATTGAGAATTACCAGCATAAATGAGGTATTTAAAGGAGTTTATCAAATTTGATTTTTCCCCTTTTTTTAAGTAAAATGTTTATGCTGATTAATGGTGAATTATAAACATTATCCTCTAAAAAACTGAAAAAAGAAATTCGTACTTAAATTGGCTCTCGCGCAATTATTCAAAAAGTGGTGTCCATCTTGTGAAATAAATTCCATAACCAGCTATAAAACATTGAACATCCCTTTCATTTTTTATAAATAATTTTGCAGTATTTTGAATTACGATATAACAGCCGATATGTGCGGTTGCTGAATCTGACGTTAGGGTACATTAATTACGTAAGTTTTATCTCTTTTTTCTATTTATTTCAATTAAATAATATGAAGGTTTTTAAAAAAAGTCTTTGTCGTTACATTTGTGCACATTAATATTTAAATAACAAATGTCGTTAAGAAAATTATCATTTCATTTGTCTCTCACATCTGTATTTCTTTAGGATTGTGGCATGTATTATTTATTATGAAACCTGTAATGGCTTCTTGTCTAGTATAATGATAAAATTTACTATGTTATATACACATATGTAAAGCAATGCTAGATAAATCAGTCTTAAAATAGGCAATAGTTACTGTTTTTCAGATTTTATACATGGGCATTGTGTTGTTTGGTCCTGGTATTGCCCTGGAATCAGGTACAAAAAGAGCGCCACTCTGAATATTTCTACAATCAGCATTACTGTAATTCTACAAAATTTTTCATGAAATTCAAACAACATATTAATGAATAGTTTTCCAAAAAGTATATTGGATGGTATAACACAGTTGATACTCGTTTCAGTGACAAACTTTCCTATGTGGGCTTCTACTCTAGTAGTAGCTGTATGTTCGGTGATATACACATCCATCGTAAGTACTCATTATTAAACATGTATGCAGATGTACGTGCAAGTATCTTTACTCCATTTATTCACAATATTATTCCAATTATATCTATTATTTATACCTCACTCTTTATTTAGAGGGCGAAAAGTAAATACCCAAATGACAAGCAACATTTGCACGTTCTCACTTTCTCTTAATTGTCTATTAGGGTGGAATAAAAGCAGTGATATGGACAGATGTATTTCAAAGCCTTGTCATGTTCATGGGTATATTTGCCATTCTTATAAAGGTTAGTATTTAATTAACTTAAAATGCATAATATTTATGTATACTCAGTAATTGCTAGCATGGCCTTGCTTCTTTTTTTGATAGAATCTAATCATTCAATTTTATCATTTTCATTTTATAATTAATTTTTATAATTTTTAAAATTCATTCAAGATGAGACAATGATAAAGATTAAAAATGTAAATAGGTATACATGTAAAATTTTTTTACCAATTTCCAATTTTAAACTCAGATTAATGTCCAATTTCTTTTGAAGGGCACAATGGTTGCCGGTGGCGTATCAAATGTAATCGAGATTAACAAAAATACAGGAAGATTAGATATGTTCAAGTAAATATTTCATTTTATGATTTTTTACAGTAGTTTTATGTCCTTTTTCAATGTTACATGAATTAGGAAATCTTTATGTATGAAAAGAAACAGACTTTCAGTGACTGCATGTAAAATGTAACGTACAATATTTGATTATTGGTACATTGTTTTTTAGAATGATTGTAAAATATACCAGGCAAGCGCAATGAAAGACAGAAAATTTATATTTGATTATTTCCAGTTTTGACCCGGATCCTACAGTCCGACATACGTTTTGGAGCCTTGTTATTGGCAGTTGTCTTCGTATGGCGAGTCTCAACATCGGACAAACCTCGGTACAAAGAATTGTATCCACGCCCACCGAGAAAGCTGCTAATAGGTGGGTAGATCTAAATCATTTGTCTTTTATTGTCTATATTATATTTAACATCACAGTAAGATGTAGTACTAAACTTATCTTTTTGAAACATTTTCCAATTTTAAATGCAGCAGAATATATATCTTCATCTCGGTAAAATTCTTTTCTCAGAAAACTTCGAGATGCATATCGCGTCTGTACATTTTTAATACTTTGTTCAAAAATAGCTGTTTACACCATGGTTCTCTTTCGTAGAGTGCTCTTTTTAGCTGGACCTGCTTTCTTCATTACCCTCACTTTGGCCACTCTAGAGGGAGCCGTGGCTTATGCGTACTTTTCCTCCCTTGGTTGTGATCCTCTCAAGTCCAAAAGAATTTCCAACCCAAATCAGGTAAAATTGGGACGAAAAAAATTAAAGCAGCTTTGATGTAGATCATTGCAACGATGCAAATAGACAGTAATTTGAACGTAATCTTTAAGTTTTTGTCATTCAGAAATGGTAAATACAATTTCAGGTTGTGCCATTCATGGTTTTAGAGATTTTCAAAGATGCTCCAGGAATGGCTGGGCTGTTCATGGCCTCCCTTTTCAGCGCATCATTGAGGTTAAATATTTATTATTTTGTCCAGTTCATACTTTTAGCTACATGTAAAGTATAGCTCTAGTATGGTGTTTGACAATTAAATCTTCTTTCAGTACACTTTCCTCGGGGTTGAGTAGTCTCTCAGCTTTAGCCATTGAAGATGTCGTCAAACCAAAGTTTAAGTCCTTGTCAGAAAGATCGGTGACATTAATAGCAAAATTATCAGGTCTCTCTCTCTCTCTCTCTCTCTCTCTCTCTCTCTCTCTCTCTCTCTCTCTCTCTCTCTCTCTCTCTCTCTCTCTCTCTCTCTCTCTCTCTCTCTCTCTCTCTCATAAACACTAAATATTGAATGGTAAAGTTTTCACTTTATGTAACAAAATAGAACAGAATAGAATTAACAAATCAAACAATATGTTTATTAAACTCTGACGACATATTTTCATAGTTGTGGTTATTGGTGCTCTCTGCGTCGGGGTGTCCTTTCTTATAGCAAAGATTAAAGGACCAATGTCGCAGGTACATGATATATAAAACAATTCTGTTGTTATGATACAGCTCATTAATATCTTCATAGTTTTTGCTTTTTTCTGACTGATAAAATTTTCCACAGATAACATTCAGCGTTCTTGCTGCCTTTGGTGGTCCTGCATCTGGACTATTCCTTTTCTCCGTGTTTTGTACTTGGGGAAATGCAAAGGTTTGTAGCTGACGTCTGCAAAATTAAAAATAAATCTCGGAACGCTTTCAAAATTCAACTTCAAACTTCATTCACAATTTGGTCTATATAAGAGAAAATATCAATCGGATGGTGAAGGGCTTGTATTTAGCCTACAGGCAAATCAATAAATTGACGAAAATATTTCAGGGAGCTATCATAGGAACACTGCTTACTGCAGTTATCGGATTGTGGATTACTAATGGACAAAACTTCTCCACAACCCTTAAACGTACTCCGGGACTGCCACCAGGACCAACAGACAAATGTTACGATATGACGTCACTGTCAAATATGACGGTTATGAGTACAACCATGATGCAGAACACTTCTTGGACAGATTATTACACCACAGAAACAACAACTGATTTTCTCACAGCATCGATTCAACAAAAACCGTACGTTATGTTTTAAAACCTTTTCATATAAGGAATAGAATACATATGTATCATAATATTTAAGGGTTGGAGCACAATCTATGTGGGATTTTCACAAAGCTTTTTGGTGATTAATGCAAATAACGTATAACGTAATAAACTTTAAAAGAGCAGAATATGTCCTTTTAGGTTAATTTTCTTTCCCATAAATTCTAATGATATCTTGAAAATAGTAACTGAAAAAACAAATAGTTGAAATGGTATTCATTATTTAAAAAAGTGGATTAAGTATTTTGATAAGACAGTTTACCTGCATCTTTTCAGGCAAGGTTTGGACCGTTTCTATTCTTTATCATACCAATGGCTCACTGGATTCCTTATCATTGTATCCCTGATATTGTGTTCATTGGCCAGTATAATAGTGGGTAGGTGTCCTTAAGGATAAATAACACAAACAAACTTTTTACAGAAATCAGGAATATTTCTCATAGACTTACATTTAAATTGACAACCTGAATGATGTTTACCGAGTAAAATGGGTGAAATTTATAAGATTTTGTCATAAAATTCGAAATTTCTGCAAAATTTTGTATGGGATTATATAGGAAGCAAAACAAAGTCTCAAATCTTAGCACCAAGGAAAACCTACGATTTCTTTATATTTCAGGGATTTATTATTTATGTCATTTCAAATCAAAATCAGTCAAAAAATATATATCAGTCCGTGCATCCATTTTTTGTTTGTGTTAAGTACCCTTAAATGAAATGTTAGCGTTCAATTTCTATCGTCAATATAAACTTTACCTTCCTTATGTAAAAATTTAAATGAAGACATGATTTAAAATTATAAAAGCCTCTCTCTCTCTCTCTCTCTCTCTCTGTCTCTCTCTCTCTCTCATTTTAATATTTTTCAGGTCGTCCTGATCCGGCCACGGTAGATGTTCGTTATGTTCTTCCATTTTTTGACCAGTTCTTTCCATTTTTACCGAAAAAATTGCGAAAGAAGTTGTACGGAGGGGTACCTTTTGAAAAGGCAAAATTAACTTTTATATAATTGACAATTTATTTTTACTTTTTTTTTATTAAGTTCACAAAAATGTTTGTGTATTAGGTAAATGAATTGTTTGAATGATGGTCATTTTACGTCCTTTGCAAAAATTGCTTACAATGTATAACATAGTTTAAGGCAGGATATTTTATATGTTTTTGAATTAACTTTATTTTGTACAAAATGTTCAATATAATTTTTACACGTAATTATAACAACATTTAATTCTTTTAAAACAGAGAGAAGAATTGATTAAGAAATTGTTAGAAGAAAAGGAAAAGGAGAATGAAATTGAAGTACCGGAAGTTTTAGATAAACGTAATGGCGGTAGCAAAGAACACGTGGAAAACAGACCTGGGGAGTCTTCTTCATTAATGCTAAATGATGAATTTCAAAAAGAACAGGCAGATATCCCAGCAGATGAAGTAGTTTTATTAAACATTTCAACGGCTAAAAAAAATTCTGTATGAAAATGGATGATTAACTTATGTCGCATTGTTATGCAATATTTCATATAAACTCAAGTTATTAAAATTTCATTTTTGTAGTCTTTTTTTATATAATTGTTTTATTAATTGTAATAAAAAAACAGGAATAGGTGCATTCATTACTCATTATTATAATTTAATACGTATAAATATATTTTTTCTAAATATCACGTTGAAATACTTCTACAAATAAAAGAGTCGCCCAAGTGGCTCAGTGGTGAGAGTGTCTAATCTAGAGTCGTGAAGTATCAAGTTGATTTTCCCTTACTTCTGACAGAAGTATCGTTCAGTTTCTACTGACAAATAATTATACTAACTTATAGCATGACCAAATGCTTCAAAATTCCGCAGTTAGTTTAGGGACAATTTACTTACTCACTAAAACTACTTACCCGTCAATATGTTGAAATTTTTTGGAAAAAAGATTTCCCACCTCCTACCGACCCAATAATTTTATCCCGAGACAGCAGAAAATTAGCCTTAGTACATAAGTCCTCGAACCGCTTCATGCGTCATCGGAGACGCAAGTGGAGTAGGCTGTGACGTCATAGCTAGGATTAAATCTCGCTGCCTATCACTTTGAAATGATATTTAGATTGTCACGAATATCATGAAGGAGAAAGGTATGTAGGAAATATAAATACACAATTATTAGAAGTTAAAAAAAATTCGAAGAAAATTATTATAATTTATGCGCCATCAATGAATAACCAGTGTGTCTCGTGTTTGATGTTTTGCCTGTTATCAGAATGGATGAGAATTTTAAGTATCTTCTCCAGAAGGTTGTTGATGCTCTGTTTTAATACATGTATATTGATGGAAACACACTACAAAATCCGCTTCATATAGCTTAAGACTGACGAAACAGGGGCAAGGCAAAATTATTTCAATAACTGCAAATATCTGACGTATTCTCTTTAAAGAAAGTTAAAATCGTTATAATTTTTATAAAGAATGTTAAATAATTTCATGATTTTTTTCCAGTTTGAAGAGGATCTGTGCCCTACCTTTGATAATTTATACTTGTTCTTGTATTATAAAACCTATGAGCAGAAAATCATTTGCACTCTTGACAAGCTTGCAGTCTCATCGTGCAAACTTTTAGTTTACTATGCAGAATGATTCATATTCCAACAATGAAGAAAGATAAAAGTATTTTGCTCTTTAAAAAGCTCTTGTTTGGCAGAGAAGCTTAGTTTTGTTATATTAAATGATCATGAGACGTATGCAATTAAAAAAAGTTCTAGTTCATACCATGTATAGCTAGAGAAATGCGTTTAGTACTACTCAAGGAAACCCATAAAAAATTAATTAATATTCAATTTTTCATAAAAACCCTCTTTAGAAAGGTAAGGACATTTGTTTCAATAATTTGTAATACAGCACTTAATATCAACAGCCATATGAATTAAGCGTCGGTAATCATCAAAGGCACATCCTCTATATTTCTGTCGGTTAAATATGTTTTACTTATTGGTGATGAATATTATATTTAGGAAAATCTATTTTTTCAATTAAACACCCTTTAAAAGCTTAAAAATATTTTTTTTAAATAAAAAGAAACAAAACCGTGACGATAAATTTTCTTGTTAAAAGTTACATGAAAGAGTCTGATAAGTAGAAAATATAGAAAATTGCTTATGCTTAAGTGTCTCTTGTATTTCAACATAAAAATGCCAACATTTATACTTTTACGCCATTCCATAAATAAGCAGTTCAGAACTACTAATGAAATATCTGATTTTCTGACCCAGATAGACCTGAGATATTTATATAAAACTATTCGCTATTAATGGTCTGCTTTGGATTTAAAGATCGTGTAAAATTGGTTGCGACGAAGATTTAAGTATATGCCTTGTTATTGATCACATTTATTTAACAGGCTTGCTGAGATAAAAAAAAAAGTTAAAAGATAGTCAATTAAATGTTTCTGCTTCCTCTTCCAGTTTTTATGACCACTTTAATAATCTCTAGAGTAGTTCCTAACGATCTTGAAATCCAACTAGATTTTCTGAAAACGTAGACTATAAATATATGGCGAGTTATTCTTGCCATCAACACATATTCAACTAGAACAAACAAAACACATATTATAGAGATATATTATGGAGATTTATATTGTCAACATTTTCAGTCGTCGAAACTAGAAAAAAAATCATATATAACAATCCATGTATTCAATGTTTTTATTTGTGTCTTATATCCTTAAAATAATTAGCTGAAAAAATAACTTAGACATGAATTCTATTTAATATGGCTGATACTGAACGCATTACACTTATAAACATGTGATTTCTAGGTAAATGCTACTTTCGTTTTTTATCCGAAATGGCAGGTGAAGGAAAACTGTTGAAGAATGCCTGGAGGGCCCCTGAAGACGTATTCGGTCCGGGAGAGAAATCTCTGAAGTCCCAAATCCAAGCACAAACAATGAGTTATGATTTCTCAAGTGAGGAATGGAAACAAGCCTGTACTGTTGTGGATGATGTCTTGGACATAATTCTCGTGGAACTCCGAAACCAGGCACAAAAGTCGTTTGAAGGTTTGACTATCGATGAAAGATTTATCCGCCAAGCAAGCGCAAGGCAGGGATTAAAAATAGAAGTTCCGGATGAATTTGATGCCATTGTTCCTTTCAAACTCACAAGTCTGAAGATTCAAGAGGTGCGACTTAAAAATAGCAATGGGCAGCTTATTCCAGGACAAATGCGCCTAAGAATTATCAATAGTGCCGATCTAAACACTCTTGTTCCCAGGCTAAATAGGCTAGGAGCATTTCAAATGGACCAAGGAACATGTTTCATAAATACCAGAGTCCTCCAAGAGCAGGTTTTCAAATCTCTAATGGATAAAACTTTGTATGCGAGCCACGACTCTTTGGTAAGAAAAGGATACTCCGTCACCCGTGGGTCCAGACCACCTACCATGAATATTACCATTTCTTCACGTTTGCGATTTCCCATTGATGTTGATTTTGTACCAGGTCTTGATTTGGGACGGGAAGCTGTAACAATTCCAGATACTGTCACAACGCATCCGGGATCCATTAGGATTGACTTCCCAAGATTCGGCCTCATGAAATGGGTCAACAAGGAAAACCCAAATATTACTGACAAAGACAAAGACTTTATCTGGCGCAATTGTTCATCGTCTTATGAGAGGTATGTGTTCGATATGTGCCTTGGGAACAGAGAACGACTTTACATTGTCACAGCATGTCGCGTCATGAAAGCACTTGTCAAATGTCTTAGAAAAAGACAAAATCATGCCGCCAACTTGCTGACATCATACCATCTGAAGACAATCGCCATGTACTGCATACTTCTGCTGACGGTACCCACAGTGGCGCCACCCGATCTTCACGTCAGTGGTGTTCGCGAAGCCCTGGGTTATTTCTTGAAGTTTTTGAAACTAGTTTTCGAAAAAGAAACTTTGCCAGAATTCTTTTTAGGAAATGAGTACTTGGAAAGAATTTTCCCTGATTCTTACTTTGCAAATGAACACAGAAAATATAATTTGTTTCAAAAAGAGAAACCAAAGCAAGTGGAAGCTGCGAAATACTGCTTCAAAGAAATGGAGCAGACTCTCTCTGGCTGTTATAGCTATGAGAATGTACGGGAATCGGTAGTTAGGAGTTTTGAGAATCGTGTCCTCAGAATGTAAAAGACAAAACATTACGTATGCAATGGAGCACATGCAATATATATGTTTGGGATGATTTTTTTTTATAAATACAATGTACTGGAATATATAATGAGAGAATTTAAAAAAAAAAATACATACGTATATGATATATGTATTCATGATTATTTATAACACTTTTATTTGTTGTGTAAATATTGTGGGCGTTTTACAGCTGTTTATGCATATATGTGTATACATTGCAATATGCTTAAATAAATTTAAAATAATGTGTTACTTTTATTTATATAAATTTATCAGCTTTTAAGGATACACCAAAGGCTTTTTTCAAGATTTTTGTCAATTTTGAGATTTTTGGCTGAGAAAAGAATGCTAATCATTGCTTTATAATGCATGAAAAATTCTTGCTGATTATTACATGGTTTTCTAATTATTTAACAATAATCAAACATAAACACTAACACATGTGAATGTGCCGTTATTGAAGCTTCTGATTCGGTCTGTAACTGCCTGCTTCTGAAAGGAGCAATAAATCACTGTGACCACTTGGGGAATTCTTCACTAGCCACACAGAGGTTATCAGTAATTAAACTACATGGACTCTAGATTTAGGGAAGGAGATCTAACAGGTCACTAATGACCATGAAATAGGAGGTGGAGCTTAGCTCTTGCCATTTTGCCGGAAAATCTTTCTGATTCAGAAGAACCTATTTTACTTCATTAAAAGCACCTAAATAAAGAATAGAACCTCCCATTCTTGTGAATATGCATAGGAAATATGGATAAGTGACAGGTATCCAAAGCTGAATCTCCAAGGTGTCATATATTTCTAGCTTTGGCAGACTTTGTTGTGTAATGGGTTTTTGCCCTCTACTGTAAAGTAAGATCAAACAGTTGGTGGTATTGTTTGAAAGGATTCAGCTCCCTTATTTATTGACCAATTTCTCTGAAAACTGGCCAGAATGCGTCTCAAATGTGTGTTCACAAAACCGTATCTCAGATTTTTGATATCTTGTTCAGTTCTCGGATAATTGGGGGAAATGTAGAATTGGGCTAATAAATTGGTAACATTGAGAGACAAATGGATGTAACTTTTGAATAAGAAGATTTATCAAAAATCTGAGATACGGTTTTAAAATTCAATCTTTAATCTACATAGGGGCAAATTTTCGACTTTAAGAGATGGAATACAAAAAAGTTGATTTATAAAATACAAATGCACCAATATTTACATTAAAATATTAATAGTTTTTTAATAAGATAAAAATGAAAATTTAAATTAAGATCATTAAATAGTAAATTTAACAGGCTTTCAAATGATATATACTTTCAATATCTTATCTTTGTTAATAAAAGAATTAAGCAAATTAAATTATGCCCTTTAGAAACCTTTGGTGTATCCTTAATAATTATTTTATTTCATACGTTGAAAAAAGGACTCGCCATTGGTGTCTACCTTTTGATAAATCAATCTTATGTGAATTGTAATTTTATCATCTGAGAAGTTGTTTAATACAAAGTTATTGCTTCCTTAACGCATTTTTAAAAATTTATTATTTTTATTTTGTTAATTTGTTGTCTTAATTTATCATAAAGCACATCCTGTTATATCAAAAAAAGTTAAAACATTTCAAATAGTTTTTCCTCCACAAGATGATGATCTTTTAATAGTTACTGTTATTTGATAATTATTTAGAGGAATTGATTTTTTTATTCCCACACAATATGATGGCCTTTTCTTGAGTTATTTGATTAGAATTAAGGAGTATGAAAAGTATTTAATATGCATTTTACTCATTTTTTAATTTGTATTGTATTTGATTTTGTAAAGAACCAAAGAAAAGTTACTTTATTTACATTAAAGGGAACGTTTCGTCAGAATTTTCATTTTTATATAATCTACAGTATATATAAAATCGTTACCTCTCATGTAAAAGAAAAGCTGCATAACATTCCACTGCTGATTACAGCGGTTTAAATTTGATTCTGATTGCTTAATTGGAGCGGCATGGGGAAAACCCTATCTTATGGCAGCTGCAGATGTAAAGAGCAAATGCTTCATGACTGCTGAGAAAATAAATTTCCTTAGATAAGCTTATTCAAGCAATTGTTTAATTATAAGAGAAAAATTAACAACCTTCTTGAACACATTTTTTGATCAAAGTTTAATCACTAGTTTTTTTGTTGTTGTTGTTTTTTTTTTTTTTTTTTTTGGTTTTTTTGGGTTTTTTTTCAAGAGATATAACTGTTTCTTATACATTCCTTCTTTTATTTTCCAGAATTCTGAAGCACTAGAATCATAAGCATGTGAAATTATATTTTCTTCATTACATGTACATTCAAATTCAAAATCAAATCGCATGCAAGCACTTAATTAGTTGGCACATTTTCACGACTTGATTCCGACATGATGTTTACACTTATAACCCATGTGGATCCCCAGCGAGAACTGCTGATAACTAACATATCCCCACTAACAACTATCTGAAACAACACGCACTTCTATTTAAGTATCGGGTAATTTCATTTAGACTTGGGAAGTGTGTGTTGTTAATGATTTTTTTTTTTTTTTTTTTTTTTTTGTTTCAAGGACAGACATTTACAACCACATGTTGTATTAATTAGCGGACGATGCATCAATACACATCACCCTGGCTTACACCTTGGTAAGATTGCTCTGCAAGTCGTCAAGTGATGGTGCTCCTTGTTATCAGCTGTTCTCAGTGGGGATCCTAACATATCCCCACTAACAACTATCTGAAACAACACGCACTTCTATTTAAGTATCGGGTAATTTCATTTAGACTGATATATAAGTGTGTTCTTGACTAAATTATAAAAGTAAAGGGTACATCCAGGTAAATATCTCTACCCAATACTCACTCAAAGTAAATAACAACACTTTTTTTTTTTTTTTTTCCATATAATTTATATGTCAAGACATGAAATTGAAATACAAAGGGTGTTATTTAACAACATTAATTAATTATATGAAATATAATTGAGTGATCAGGTGATCTTTTTAAACAACTAGTATGTATTAAACATAAGCGTGTGAGGTTGACCACATCATATTCTTTAATTTGTCGGCTTAAAGGCTGGACTAAGAGAGGAAAATTCTCCATGTGTTTTGTAAAATCCTTCAATTTCGTCTGTGTCTGCTGATAGATTGGCAATATTGCTTGCTAATGTGCTAGCATCTGTCAAGGTTTTCGTCCTGCTGTAATAATAAGCTGATCGTTCACTCGACCATCCGACATGCTTCATGAGTTCCTGGGGAGATGTCGCAGTGCCTGAGATCGCCATGGTTACAGCAAAACCTCCTCGTAGACTGTGTGGGGTTTCTCCTTCATAAATACCCAAAGATACCAGGTAAAACCGAAGCCGTTCATAAATTGCCGAGTAACCCAGCTGTTGATCCAGTACTCGCCCTGATTCTGATACGGGCCTGAAGAGATATCCTAGACTCAAATCCACGTTATTTTGTTTGGACCAGGCATAGTAGTTTTCAAGACCTAAGACAGGACAGATTGACTTATCTTGGGACCTTTTTATGACAAAGGTGTTTGACTTTCCATCTCCACGTAATGTCTTCCCGTAGGTGTGCTCGAAAACAAATCCGGAGTTATCCTGCAATTTTTTAACTTCCTGCGATAAAATATTGCAAACATCGCTGATTCTATCCCCGGCAAAGAACTGAATTTTGAATATCGCTTGATCTCTAATCAAGACAAACTTTTCCCTTAAGGAAAGGTCAGGGCGAGCAAATTCTCTATCAATAAACAGGGTCATTTTCTTTATCTTTCCCAAAAATATCGGTCTGGCTTGTTTAGGTAACACATGGGACTTTGCCTGTTCTTCTTTACAGAATTTTACATAGTTTTTTACTTCCGGGGACAAGCAGGGATTCCCTGACTTAGTATGAACATCCCATGATCGAGTTCTTCCATGTACATACAATATCTCAGATATCTGTTGAACCATATTATGAATAGTTCCTGCTGCGAGCCTAGTAGGGCATGTGCATTCAAATAAACCAAGTTTACCCAAGTGTGGACACGAGATCCCGTGTATCTTCGTCTTCCCGAATCTATCACTCCACACCATAAATCGGCACACATCTTGTGGCGTCATACTTGTTAAGTCCGGAGAGGTTGGTAACTGTGATAAGAAAAGTCGTACCCTTTTTTCCAAGTTTTTCATCTTCTTTGTGGCCTTTTTATTGTCCTCGTTCTTTTCAAGCTGACTTAATCTCTTGTCAATAGCAGGAAGGTCAACTTCATTATCTTCCATCTACAAAATAAGAGTCCGTAATTTTATTATAATTTCAGCTGAAATCCACTCTACATGCTTTAAGTTCCCATTTTAGTCCCAGTTTATCGGATGTATACCCTTTTTTGGATGGAATAAGCAATACAGTTTTATCGCCTTGTCTACCTAACGTGAAAAGATTTACACAATGAGCACTCAAAAGTGGCCACCAAATTGGTCGCGGGTACATTATTGGCACAATAATTGTGCACTGTTTTACTTTTTGTTCTTTAAGGAGACACAGTACGGGGAATATGAGGTGAAATGGAGGAAACACGTACGGGCGCTTCTCACTTGACAGATCTTGTGCAAATACATTAACACCCGCTGATTGTGGAGTAGGGTTTTGAGTGAAATGTCTCAATGGAACTCCAAAGTTGGATATCATTACATTCGTATCTGTCGCCATCAAATCTACTGTATGTGGTCCAAACATAGTCTCAACCCTCTGCCATGTTTGGGGATTTAGCATGCATTACATCTGTGTAAGAAATAGTTCTAGATGGAGCGTCTGCAGTATTTTCTGTTGACGGCACATAGTGTAATCTCAAGTCAATATTCAATTTCCAAACTGTCTGGAATATATTTTTCATTATATCAGCCAAATGCCGGTCCCGTGACCTTTGATTTTCCCAAGCATGCAAGACTGCGGTATTGTCAACATGGATGTCTAATCTGTGGTCTTTGATTTTCATCGCTAAGGACTTGAGGGCAATGTCGACAGCTGATGCTTCCTTAAGATGAATCGGTCTATCATCCTCGCTTGACCAATAGTCTCCAAAAGATAGACCCTTGTCTTGGCCTGACATAAGGGAGATTCCATAGCGGAAAGAGGATGCATCCGTTGACAGTGACATTTGAAGATGTTTCTCTTGTCTCCAAGGCGCGAAGCCTTCCCAGTCGTCCAAAAACCTCCAGTGTTCGATCTCTTGTCGCAGCTCACGAGAAATGATTGTTTGT